GACTCAGTTACAGCATAACCACGCGCTGCCAGGCTGAAATAAATGTCCGAGGAAACCATTCAATATATTTTTACTAATGTCATGCGGTCATTTTAAAAATTCCGGCAGTTAACGAGGTTTCCCACTTAGATAATGTTTCACACTTGTTTCAGGTAAAAAAAAACAAGATGACTAAATCATTGGTTTGATGAAAAGAGAACAATACAATTGTAAGTTTATGAATCATTAACTGTACAATGTGTTCACGCTTTACTCCATACATACCAATTAAATCATTTATCCATAACTCGATAGATACTAAATTTATCTCACTTCAGTGTACATGTAAATTGTCAACACAATAAAGACACGAGGAATTACATTTAATCATATATGGAAACATTTATCCAAGGACAATTTTTAGGATCTGAAAATATATTTATTTTGGGTTATTTTCAGTCTAAATTTTGAGAGTGAGAAGCTGAGATAATTTTTTTTGGAAACTCAAATTACATGAACAATAGGGCCAAGATAGCCCTTGGTCTCTCACCTGACACATCAAACACAACCGAACAATTAACTAGACAAGCATTCTGACCAAGTTTCATGACACGTGAAAAAAAAATGAGGATTATCCATATTTGAGCAGTGTGACATAGTTTTTAACCCCAGGTGAACCATAATCGAGCTTGACCTAGAAATCAGCAAAACAAACTTTTAGACTAATTTTCAGGATATTTGGATAAAAGCAGTTGCCACTACAGTGTTAACAAGATTTTTCTATTTTTAGCTCCTTTTACCTAGTTTTTTTATCCGAGATGACCCATGTTCAAAGTAGTCCGAGCAATTACCTAAACAAGCATCTTGACAAAGTTTGATGATGATTGAGTCAAAAATGTGTCCACTTGAGTGTTAACAAGGTTTTTCTATTTTTAGCTCCTGTGACCTAGTTTTTCATCAAAGATGACACATGTTCCAACTCATCTGAGCAATTACCTAGACATGCATCCTGACCAAGTTTAATGATTATTGAGTAATAAATGTGACCACTAGAGTCTTAGCTCCTGTTACCTAGTTTTTGCATCCGAGATGACCCATGTTCAAACTCATCCGAGCTATTACCTAGATAAGCATCCTGACAAAGTTTGATGATGATTGAGGCAAAAATGTGACAACTAGAGTGTTAACGGACAAGTGTGGACGGACGACAGACGACGGACATTCAACGATCCTAAAACCTCATTCTGAGCTATCTCAAGTGAGTTAAACATTCTACACTGGAAGACTGAACTTGATTTTGTAGTATGGTAATGTTGCCAAAATGTATATACTGAATGGTGTTAGCCATCCTGTACATTGTTAGCTTGAAGCAGTCCTTTTTTGTTTTTACTTTATACATATAAGGAAAATCAATGACCCCCAGGGCGGGAAAAAATTTGACCCAAGGGGTTTTATTTGAACAAACTAGAAACACGCTCACTAGAAGACGTTTCATGCTTAATATCTAAACTCCCTTAACACTGTGGTTTCGAAATCCGACAGGGACTTTGGATTCTTTCATTATATGTGAGGAAGCTATCCAGCTAGCTTACGAATCGTCGGCGGTTCTACTCAGGTGACCGTTCGTGCCTTAAATGAGGTCTTCCTCCACCAACCAGTAAAGCTGGAAGTTGCCATATGACCTATAATGTGTCGGTGTGACGTAAAACCAAATTAAACAAACAAACAAACAAATAATATCTAAGCTCTTTTGAATTTTAAAAGAAGATTTTTAATATATACATATTAGGAAAATCAATGACCCCCTGGGAGGGGCCACTTCGACTTTTATTTGTACAAACTTGGTAGACATTCACTAGAGATGTTTCATGCTTAATATCCAAGCTCTAGCTATTTTGATGATTTAAATGAAGATTATTTTAGTTTTTACTATATACATATTAGGAAAATCAATGACCCCAGGGGTGGGGCAAATTGGGACCTAGGTTTTTTTGACAAACTTGGTAGACACTCACTAGAAGATGTTTCATGCTAAACATCTAAGCACTAGCTATTTTAGATTTTTAAAAGAAGACTTTGTAAAGTATTAACTATATACAAATAAGGAAAATCAATAATCTCCTGGGCCGGGGCCAATTTTGACCCTAGGGCTATTATTAAAATAAACTTAATATAGACACTAGAAGATGATTCATGCCAAATATCTAAGCTCTAGCTCTTTGTTTTTTTTAGATGATATTTTAAGTTGCAACCAGAGTTCTGCATGGAATTAAATTCTTTGAACAATTTTTACAGGTGACTACCAAATGAATATTCATGTGAAGTTTGTATGAAATTACCTTAGCGGTTTATGAGAAGATGTCGTTTAAAGTAAAAATTTACGGACGGACGACAACCGGACTCCGGAAGAAAAGCGATAATTCAAGCTCACCATGCCATTTGTGACTGGTGAAAAGTAATTAAAAAAAAAACGAAAAAAAAAAAAAACAACAAAACTGTATCTTTTGGTCATAGTATTTTAAAGCAATAATTGTCATATTAATAGTGCTTTATATCACTGGTATAGATTTTTAATCTTTCCGCAGGATATTTGTATGGGGATTGTACTCTATATTGATAAGAATGTATTGGTTATCAGTAGGCAATACGGACAAACAGGTTAACCTTATAATTAACACTAAGAATTACCGACTGCAAAAGTTGGACTAAATAGACTTTGAGTAGTATTTTTTGAAATGTATAACAATTAACAACACTTGGCATATAAATATATCAAATAGTTGCAAAAAATAATCATACCACTATGATAACTTGTCTATGTAAGATAAAAAAAGTACCTGATTTCTCCTCAAATTCAATAATAGCAAATTTTCTTTTCTTATCAATGTCAATACTTTTCACTTTTCCCTTGCCATTTCTGTATTCAAGTTCAAAGTACATTGTAAGCATCTCCTTATTTGTATTTTCCTTTAATCGAGAAATTCTTATACGAGGAATATCCAGTGGTTCAAAAACCGGTGGTATATCTGGAACTTATATAATATAAGCATTGTAAAAAAAAATATAGTAAGTAAAATGGTGTGCTAAATACTTGACGCTCCTTGCACATTGCATTCACATACTTTATGATATTAAAAATTATACAAATCATATAGTGCAATATATTTTGTTTTTCTTAATCACCTACACTTCTTATAAAAGCCTTATTTCTAAGGTAAGAGTGGAAATCTTATCAAGATTATAATATCTATGCAGGTTCTCTTTAATTCTAGCATAATTTATTCCATTACATTTAAAAACTGGTATAAGAAATAAAATATTATCAGGCACACCATAGCATAGTTGCAAGGGACATGTGTAATGAAGTTTGGTCTTGTCTCGAATGTACGTGGCACTGACAGGGCTACGTGTCATACATGATTCTACATTTCATTTTTTCTCAATTTATTTAATAAACAAGACGGTGATACGAAATTCTTAACCACATTAAGGCTTGCACATATTTAAAGAATGATTGTGTTCAAATAACTTTGTGATAATAGTTTCTCTGTTGTGTATAATATAGGTTTTTTATCTTGTTTCTCGTTTCCGCGTGCATACTGTATCAAATTGATTAATAAGTTTTACATGTTGTTTAATATAAACTTTGAATATTTCTTTTGTTTCATTTAAAGCGAACAGAAGGTAAGTTTAGGTCTTAGGACAAGACGTTATGATCTGTTAACTATATATATTTGATTATCGTTCAGTAAAGGGGATATTTGTACCAAATGTTAATGACCACAGAGCAATGCTAAAATGTCAAACATCTAAGCTCTTGGCATTGTTGTTCTACACAATAAGACATAAATGTACACTTTTTTATCAATAACGCAATCAATATGAATTTTAAGTATGTAATATATAAAGTACGGTCCCCATCGGAGGGGATATTTTCTATGTGTGAAAGTCCTTAAACCAGGTTATGGAATGTCAATATAATTAACGTTTCTGCTGAGTAGTTTGAATTTTCTTTCATTGGTTCAATATTTGCATGCTGAAACGAGATTGGTAACGTAGTGACCACCAGGCGCAGAACATGCTCGCCAATATTTTTTTTCGGGCGCAAAAACAAAAAACGTCAAGTGAAGAAATGCTTGTTCCCTTTACTCATATCAGAGAAGACAACCTACAAGGTGATTTCTTTATAAAAAGCATTTCTTTAAAAGTATATTCTAAAGAACGTTTTCTCTGACCGACAAATGAAGCAGCCAATTTAACAACATATCTTATGGAAAAGAAATGTCGTTTGAAATAAGTGAATCCATAATTTAATTGTTCATGTCAATACAACGAGTAAACAACGAGTAAACGAGATGGGTATAAATATGCAAACGGCCGATTTGCAAGGAAAGACCAACAGTCTTAAATAGATAAATGAGAACTGGCTCTTTTATTAATAGACAAATACCTGTGGCAGGTCTTTTTAAAACAATTGTATTCGTACAATAACATAAGTTTTACACAAATCAAAAGAAAATGCTGAAGTCCAGAATACACATTTTATTACATTGAGCTTACAATAGCACAAACATACATGACAGTGTTGTCTGTACTTAGAGACAAAGTCCAATTGCTACTTAAGACTCAGAAGCACAATATGCTGTTTTATTGTAGATCAATTTTTACATGATGTTAAAACAAATAAAACATTGCTATGCTTTAAAGTAGAAGCCCCGTTGAGGACATTCTACAACATAATTTACAGTGTGGAGAACGCAGAAATACATGTTGGAGAAAGCAGTAGTATGATTACATCACGACTGGAACAATGGATTATATACACACATCGATATTTTAAAAAATAATGTCATTGTCCACCACCAAGATGCTACAATAACATGTCTTACTCAATAGTATTTAAGTTGATTCATTCAATGTTTCGGAAAGTCTGATAAGACTATAATAGCTTTTCTCTAGTTTTATAAGATTAATCTATAATGAACTCTTCCATAGTGTGAATGATTTGGTACAAGAATAAATATACTTAGATCTATGCTTGGTCTGTTTGTTAGTTAGTTGAAAAATTAAAAAAAGTACTCAACTCACCGAAAGTATCTACATCCACTTCAAAGCCGAATATTTTTAATGGTTTCTGATCTATTACTCTATGAACAGCTGAAAAACAGAGACTATAAATATTCAATATAAATTTAAAAGTATATGGCCAACAATTGACTATTTCGGTTTTTAAAAAGAATTCAAATCCATTAATCTAACAAATAATAACAATTCACCACACTAGGGCATTTCTGTACAGCTTGTTCGGACAATACAAACAGAAAATGTATTAAAAACATATATTTTAAAAGAGAAAATGAGCCAATGTCAGCATCATGCTTTATTTAATTTACAGGAGACAAAACATTTTACACTTTTGTTTCAAATTGCGTTAAAACACATAGCTAAAGTATGAAATATAAAAGGATACTTAGGTTGTCTATGCTTGGGATATAATATAAAAATATAAGGGATAATCTTTAATAAAACACATAATTTATTTGAAAAAGTTGTTTGAATAGTAACCTCACTATTAAGAAATGAAATTATTAATATTATAAACATATTATACATAAGCCTACATAAATAAAACTAAAATGTATAAGCTTGAAAGACTTTAATTGAATTTCCTACCTGCTGAATTGTCAAACTCAACAATGGCATGAGACTCTACAGCGTTCACTGTCACGTCAACCATTTTTCCATCACTCTTCATCATGTTTTCGAAGAACAATAACAACATTTCCTTGTTTATGGTAGCCGGTAAGTTGGAGATTTTTATCATTTTAGTTTCCTCAGTATCACCTCCTTAAAATGAAACGTGTGTATCCTTCTTTTATATTTTAATAAATTAGACAAAATTTATGGAACATAATTCAATTGATGATTTTATACATACATTACTAAATTTCAAATATTGTTCTTTCTTACATTTTGTCATTGGTAATAAAAGTAATCTTATTTATTTACATGAAGTAAAAACTTGAACATAAACAAAGGAAATAGTTTCTAAAATATATATTATTTAATATGAGAATAACATTCAATTAGGTACACATGTAGATGAGAGGGATATGTATGTTAGTTCTATTAATTTTGATAAATAGTTAATCTTTGTACTCACCCGTTACTTCTATATGAACTGGCAACCCAAATATTGCCATCGGTGTCTTTTTCATGATCAAATCAACACCTTTAAAATAAATATTGAAATAAAAAAAATAATCATATTGAAAATGCAATTCACTGATGCGATTAGGACAACTAATCAGCACAAAACTATGGGTAATAGAAGTTGCTTTATGTCATTGTAGAAACAAGCAATATGCAATATTTCACTTTTAATGTTCTACATTGTCTGCACCAAATATGTTTACCTGTCTCGTCTTCGAACTCAACAGTTGCACATTTGTTCTTGCTATCAAGGTCAATACTTTTCACTTTTCCTCCGCCATTCCTCTCTTCTTTATAAAAAAACATTTCAAGCATCTGTTTATTCATATTGTCCATAAGTCCAGTAATTTTTATACATGTTGATTCTGCATGAAACAATTTAGGGGCTGTATCTAAAGTTAAAAAATAATAATGAAAATATAGAATTATGTAGTTGGATTTCGTTGATATACGTCCAAATTTTTAAATTGTAAACAAATTTGCAATGATATCAACATCTATGATTGTTAATTGTAATTATGATATTAAATGAACACAGGCGTAAGCAAATCTCAGTTTGTTTAAACAGATTGAAAATCTGAAGAAAAAAAATGTAGAATTATAGTTAGAAATGGTCTTACTTGGCAAATAGTAAGACTGTTCAGTTATAATACTTTATCTACGTCAAGGATTACTTGTCTGATGTTGCGAAAATAATGTTTAATCAAAGTTAATAAATGTCATATAAAAATTACCAAGTACTTTAACTGTCACATCCATACCCAGTATAGTTTTTGGATCTTTTATAATAAATGAAATACGCAATTTTCTTGCAACCAAATAGACACGTCTTTGTATAAAACATTCGAATAAACATGTCTATCAATATACATATGTTTTTATTCTTAGCAGCCGGTAAGTTGGATATTTTTATCATTTTAGTTTCCTCAGTATCACCTCCTTAAAATGAAACGTGTGTATCCTTCTTTTATATTTAGACAAAATTTATGGAACATAATTCAATTGATGATTTTATTCATACATTACTAAATATCAAATATTGTTCTTTCTTTCATTTTGTCATTGGTAATAAAAGTAATCGTATTTATTTACATGAAGTAAAACCTTGAACATAAACAAAGGAAATAGTTTCTAAAATATATATTATTTAATATGAGAATAACATTCAATTAGGTACACATGTAGATGAGCGGGATATATGTTAGTTCTATTAATTTTAATAAATAGTTAATCTTTGTACTCACCCGTTACTTCTATATGAACTGGCAACCCAAATATTGCCATCGGTGTCTTTTTCATGATCAAATCAACACCTTTAAAGTAAATGTTGAAATAAAAAAATAATCATATTAAAAATGCAATTCACTGATGCGATTATGACAACTAATCAGCACAAAACTATGGGTAATAGAAGTTGCTTTATGTCATTGTAGAAACAAGCAATATGCAATATTTCACTTTTAATGTTCTACATTGTCTGCACCAAATATGTTTACCTGTCTCGTCTTCGAACTCAACAGTGGCACATTTGTTCTTGCTATCAAGGTCAATACTTTTCACTTTTCCTCCGCCATTCCTCTCTTCTTTATAAAAAAACATTTCAAGCATCTGTTTATTCATATTGTCCATAAGTCCAGTAATTTTTATACATGTTGATTCTGCATGAAACAATTTAGGGGCTGTATCTAAAGTTAAAAAATAATAATGAAAATATAAAATTACGTTGTTGGATTTCGTTGATATACGTCCAAATTTTTAAATTGTTAACAAATTTGCAATGATATCAACATCTATGATTGTAAATTGTAATTATGATATTAAATGAACACAGGCGTAAGCAAATCTCAGTTTGTTTAAACAGATTGAAAATCTGAAGAAAAAAAATGTAGAATTATAGTTAGAAATGGTCTTACTTGGCAAATAGTAAGACTGTTCAGTTATAATACTTTATCTACGTCAAGGATAACTTGTCTGATGTTGCGAAAATAATGTTTAATCAAAGTTAATAAATGTCTTATAAAAATTACCAAGTACTTTAACTGTCACATCCATACCCAGTATAGTTTTTGGATTTCTCTGCATAAAAGCATCAACAGCTGAAATAATTAATTAAATCAACAAAAATCGAAAATATAGAAAAAGAACTACATAACACGTTTAAACTCATTCTGAGATAAAGATTTGAAAAAAAAGAGAAATAGAAACGTATCGGTTTTAAATGAAATACGCAATTTTCTTGCAACCAAATAGACAATACAACAACGTTTCTACTAATATGTGAATTATTCTAAAGCCATAGTTGATGATATTTAGTCATTCTTAATTTATTTTGACACATTGACCTACTTTGAAGCTTTTTACAATAAAATTCATTTTGTTTTATTCTTAACATAACCATACACATCATGAAAATCTTAGCATCCGCGATTTGAAAAAAAAGAGTAAGAAAACAATAAAAGCTTCCTTGTGACCTTCTGTTTTACTGACAAATTAACTAGTGAAATTATGAGTCTAAGATTATTATGTAAGACCATCGTGATCCTTTCTCACGGAGACCTTTACGTGACATACTACACGCTTTATTCCCGGGATTTACGTTTTTACGAAATATTCATCAGTTTTTACGAAATACAATTTGGCATTTTATGTAATATTAATTTGTAAGTACGAAACATTAATTCGTAATCACGAAATTTAAATTTTCATTCGAGTTGCCGTTTGGCAGGGTTTAATATGGGTTAGCCATGGATAACCTCTACGATATGATGAGACAGCGTGCTAACCAGATCTCAAGACAATTATTGTATTATATAATAGTGATCTCAGTATCTGAAGGGGTTTTTAGTAACCATAACCAATCACGATACTTACACAAAGTAAAGAGGACAGCAAACAAAATCAAAATCTTAAGTAAATGGCTTGACATTAACTTTAAAATTGAAGGTCATTGTGAGTTTGACATAGAACCGACTAACCTCACAATCGGAAGGGGGTAATATGTAAGCCTGGGTCAACTTTGCCACCAAATTTAACGATTATAAGCCTAATGGCCTTTAAGTTATTATATTAATGTAAACAGGATTTTCCAGTGAGAATTCAAAATGTCCTCTTTTTCTCCTTTTTCAAAAACATATTCCCACCCGCTGGCAAAAAATCAAAATGTTTTAATTTCTGAGATAATTAATCTTTTCTGACATGTTTCCTTAAAAAAGTAACTTTATTTCTTTCTTTTATCATACACATAAGTAAAAATTAAATGGATTGCCTACAGCTTTTCATTAAAAATGTGTTTCCTTAAAAAATATAATTGCACCGTGCGATCATAAAGACGCGCCATATAGACCTATATAAAGTCGACGAAACAAAAATTATTTTCACCGTGTTTTAATTTGATCTCCTGTACACCAATTTTAACAAAATATTCCAAGCGTCTGTACTATGACAGCTGTCGCGGCCACTCAATCAACAGGTGATTGTTTTATACAGTTAACCACTGTATGTTATACCGTCTCTTTAAGGTAAAATACAAAAGAAAAACGATACTGACCATACCGTGTTTACTTGACTCATATTTAGTAAGGAACTTACTTTCAAAGCCTTCTTGATTAATATTAACGAAACTTTTAAATACGAGAACATTTTTGTTCTGTCATCTGTAAGTCAGCCCTTTTTTAAAACCCATCTGTAAAGTAGCTTTTTAATTTTTTGAAAATTTCTAACATTCACAAAACGCAGCATCGTCACATAATTTTCCCAAATTTAAACCAGAGCTCTTTTCCAAAAATAGCTGGAAAAGGCCCTGCATGAGTTGTAAACTTGACGACTGAGCCAAAAACCAAAAGGGGTCAACTACTTACCAGGGCTTTACTGGCCTCTTCCCTCACTAAAATAATTATACAGACAGTAAAGTCATAGGCATCAAGTTATTAAGCCGACAAGAAAATACTTATGTGCCTATTGAAAAAATGAAATATTATTTCGTAATAATTATTACGAAATATATATATTTTTTATGAAATACTATTTCGTTATTGACGAAATATTATTTCGTCATTGCGAACTAATATTTCGTTTTTACGAATTGATATTTCGTAATTACGAATAAATATTTTGTTAAAACGAATTAAGTCCCTGGAAATCAGTGTTGAAAATGAAAATGTCACCTTAGGGAATCCTTACTTTTCCAATCTAAATGTTATCTTATTTTGGTAACAATATTGATTTAATATTAATCTACAACAAAATGTTAATGATATTATAAAAATCGTTTCATCAGTAGTTCTAAATAACACATTTTAAATTGCAGGAACTGTCAAAGTATAACATATAAGCTAACATCATAAAAGCGTTTCAAATATACTTATATTTACAGAAACAAATACCTGCTTTTTCATCGAACAAAACTGTAGCACATTTACTCTTTCTATCGATCTCAATGCTTTTAACTTTTCCACCGATTTTTTTCTCTTCAATTTGAAAGAACATTTCAAGCATCTCCTTATTGACATGTTCCAATAATCCATCAATTCTTATACATGGTTTATCAACATGTGAATCTTAAAAGTCAAAATGAATCATAAATATAGCCTGCAGCATTAATAACCAATTTTGCATATTTCTTAATTTTGATTGCACAAATCATTCAATACCTTTTCTATCTACATATGTCTAAACCGGGTTGGTAACAGGTAATTTATTCAAAAGATACTTAAAGTGATATGCAAAGTCAATTGATTCATTTAGCACGGGCGGCACGCATTTACCTTATAAACAGCTATTGGCAATAAAACAATATATGCTTCTAGAATATGACAAAATGGAACCACCTCTATGTTTATATGTAGTTCTTTACAATTATGAACGGTTTAATCATTTTTACATTTAAACAATCATTTTAGATTTGAAATTCAAATGTATACAAATACCTTCTGCATTATTATCTGCGCCATTTACAACTTCAGCTACCTCATTGCTATGACAACTTTTAGAACCTTTAAAGGCAATATAGTTCACTAAAGGGAACACATATAAAATTGACGAAAAAAGCCTATTGAACGTACGTTATTGTATTTTTTGCAAACAAAAGCAAAAGGGTTTAAGCCAAGTAGCACACACAATAAAGTGTCTTGTAAACTTCTAACGGTAAAGAAATCGTAAAAAGAAGTGATTTAAAATTTCACTTTTGTTTCATATGTTACCATTGCATTCAATATATTTGAATGACTTCTAGCCTAAAAACAAATAGCATAAAATATGCGCAGATTAAACTAAAATGGTAAAATATATGCGAACTTGTATCATAGTTTTGGGACCTTTCTGTTGAAAAAGTGTCAGAGTTAAATCGTATATATATACATGCACAGTGCGTTAACTGGAGTGCAGGTATTAGTTACCTGCACTCTATAGGATGCCAATGTGTGTGTGCGCGCACAAATATATACCTTCTACATCGGACCTGGGTTCGGTTCAACACCAGCAATCATTAACAGAACGCCGATGAAAAGCATACAGCCAACTGTTTTCAGGTCATGCATGTACGTGGCAAGTGCTGCCACATGACCCTCTCGGAACTGTCTGTATTTTTCAATAGCTTTTCACAAAATGTTTTTGAGTTCCAATTCTTGCTCTGTATGTTTAAATATCATCACCCATTTACTCTTAAAGGTAAATGGAAACAGTAAATACATTTCGAAACGTCGCGACCTATAATTTGTCCCCCTCGACTTTCGAAATTTTATTTGTTTAGTTCTACCCATTGTTTTCTCGTTTAAGGCACACGCATTCCTTTACTTGGGGACATTACGCCGCTTTTCATTGAATGGCACTAACGTATCACATTGAAGGGTCCATGATGAACACATCTGCATTTAAAACTTTACTGCTTAATCCGGTGCTAGGGTGCGTGGACGGTAACATGCACTTTCCATTACCATTCATGAACAGGTTCAATCAAATCGAGCCTCGAACATTTTCAATTTTGTCGTTTTGTGCATTCTTTAGGGACTCTTTATTACACTCCATTTTAAGTATAAAATCTACAACAATTGCCGCTGATTTCTTTCTGTTGATCGACTTACTCTTTATAGACACACGAGTGATAACATTTCGTCAACCCATGGATTCATTATGTTCTTTGCTGTTTCTAACACTAGTAATTAAATAACGAGGTTTGTACGTTCCCTGCGACATTTTGACGTCAACTAAACATACTCATTTTATTTTATGCAACCCCAGCATTATATAAGAAAATAAACCTATTTGGAAAAAAAAACACTAGCTCTTAATAGATAATGACATAGTCGTAGTAGAACGAAATTATCAAAAATAAATTATACACAACTTTTATAATAAATCCTTAGGAACTGAATTATCATACAAATCCTACACATGCTTTTATTAAATGTCAAAACATACCATTTGTTTCATTTTTGTAAATGCGAATACGTACATGTATAGAACGTACTATTATAAACTTGTTTTCATGCTTTTTACCCACCCCCTTTTTGAGGCCTAAAATGTTAAAAATATACCCTATTTAGATCCTAAACACTTGTTTTCATTTGAGAAATGTTGTTAAAAAAATTATAACTTTTCGTCGCCGCCACCTACCAAACGGATACACCAGAGGTTGCCATAAGAGGGATGTCCCCTCTTCTACTTAGAGGTTTGAAGGAAGCATTACCCCCTCATCGCAAAGGTCATTTTTGACTTGTGGGGGGGCTAAAAATGGCCTCTGGTCAAACGTGTAACCAACGCGGAATAGCCTTTGACTCTATTTTAATCCACTGAGAAGTTGCAGCACATTGAAATCAGTTTAGATGGAAGAAAGTAACGCAAAAGAGTGGTGTGTGGCAATTATGAGATATCAACTCGTTTCCATGGTAATGGGAAATTGAAAATTGAGCATGCCGAGCTTCGTCCAGTCAACATTTGTGCCAAGTTTGATCAGTATTGACGCATTTTGTTAAAGTTTCATAGCAATTTTAACATGTAAAAAGAGGCCTTTTCCATGAAGACAGTCATTTGTTGACAAAATGATCATGCAGTAATGGATTAAAATAGCAAGCATTATCATAAATTATTCTTCAGATTTATTCAATGGCTTGCTAATTTTGCATTAAAGAATATAACAAGAACTTTTACATAATTGTTTTGTAACCACCTGAAATAAATACATTTTGTTTGTAAACTTTCTTAGGATAAGAGTAAAATACTTGTGCATGTTAATCTTTAGTAAGGAATGTTTTTTTTTATAAAGTTCTAAACGATTTTTATAACCACTGATTTCTAATAATGAGAATATACTGCTTTTTGTATCAAAGGTCATTTTGAATAAAGAGTATTTACATTGATGAGCAGGGTTTATACTTTAGCCCATTCAAATAATGAAATGTTAAAATGATATAAAGACCAATATTTGCAACGGTTCTCTACCTGAGAAATATTTACATCGAGTATGCACCGTGATATTGATGCGTAGTTTCTAAAAAGCAAACACTATTTTTTCACTACTTTTCAATATAGCAACGAAAGGTAACGTATGAGCAACTTCAAATCGAAAGTATAAGACGGTTTTTCTGATCTTAGATTGCATGTTAAAGAGCGGAGTCTTCTGTGTTACAGAATCAAATTCAGATTGCAGATCTTGTGCAGAGGTTCCTGAATGACTTTTTTACCATGTGACCTTGTAGATAGGGTTTGGGACTATGATGGAGCTCATGTTTGACCGGGTTACACAGGTGCAAACTCGGGTTATAGCAAGGTGAATGTCGGGCGACAGGTAGGCGGCGGGCGGGCGTGGAGAAAATGTTCGTAACAATTTTCTCAGCAACTACTTATCACAGATTCTTAATATTAGGTATACAACATTAAAATGTGGTCCTTTACCATGAGATTTGATTTCAGGTCTGTCGCTCATCAACTTCCTGTTTTCCGGCTTAAATGAATATTTGTTATTTATAGTCATTTATAGCAACAGTAGGAAATTTTCATAACATTTTCCGCAGCAACTACTTATCACAGCCTCTTGATATTTGGTGTACAGCAATAACACATGGTCTTATATCGTTGGATTCAATTTCAGGTCTGTCGTTTATCGCCTTTCTGTTTATTGAGTTAATTAAATTTTCACAATTTATTGTCAATAGTAGAACATTTTTGGAACATCACAGCCTCATGATATTTGGTATACAAATGCAACCCGGCTTTTTCTTTCTTTCACCCATATTTATTTCAATCATTCTTGGTAGCACATAATACAAGACTTCATCGTAGATGTGTAACGACAATGATGCTGATAATGAGCATACTAATATGCAAAACTAAAGTTGGTAAATATACATAAAGGAATGTTCCCATATATAAGGTCACACACAACTCTTGGTGGTGAGCTAGATTTTCGCCGGTAGGGTTCGTGTGCCTTAAATCGTTACATTTGGTGGGGATGTAATCAACTACCAGACTGGAGTTGCCGTACCCAAAGATATCCCAGGCCAAGTGTCGGGCGAGATTTCTCGGACGGGAAAGTAATATAAGGCCGTTGGTAGAACGACATGATACTGATAATGAGCATAATAATATTCAAAAACTAAAATAGTCGGTGAATATACATAAGGGAATGTTTCCCATATTTGTCGACACAAATCACTCTTGTTGGTGAGCTAGCAAGTTTGAACACTTTGTAGTATTCAATTTCACGTCAAAAACTTTTCCATCACACCTTTTCTTGTTTTCAAAGCAGTTCCTTATTTATATTCACCGGTAATTTCGAGAATTAAATCGTGTCGGCCCTTCAGTATCACCTACTGATAAAATTTTAATTCATGTATTTGGTATTTTGATATACTTTGAATTTGCAATTAGTCTTTTTAGTTATAATTGTGTCTCAGGCACATTGCTTCAACATTTACAAACCACTTACTAGGACATATTGAATTTTATTGATAATTATGATAATACCTCTGAATTTTATACTACATTGTAGACGAGAAAGAGAGATATCAATTATTAAAACATTTGTTTGAAAAACATCGAAAGTTTGTACATACCCATTATTTCTATATGTACTTCTTTTCCAAATATTGTCATTGGTATCTTTGTCATTATCCAATCAACACCTTTAATATACACGTTGCAAATAATCAAAAGTCGTATCAGTACAGATGATATTAAAAATAGAAGTTGTTGAAAGGTAATTTAAACTAACTGACTAGACTATACATAAAGTTATTTTACTTTATTATATGACTATCGTAGTAAATTGTTTCTTTTAATCCTTTTTCAAAACAAAGACTATTGTAGAGAAAGTATTAAATTGAAAATATGTAAGCTTTTATGCATTTCATTAAAAAAATTCTTATTCGCAAAAAATATATAAGATACAACTATTAATTAACCTTTACCGGTTTCTTGTTCAAACTCAACAAAAGCACATTTCTCCTGGCTATCTAGGTCAATAGTTTTCACTTTACTACCGCCTTTTCTCTCTTCTGTTTCAAAAAACATTTTAAGCATCTGTTTATTTATATTTTCCATTAGTCCAGCAATTTTTATGCGTGTTGATTTTGCTGAATGATTCAGTTTAGGGGCTGTATCTAAAATTAAGATGAGAATGATAAAAAGAAGTAAGACTATGTTGATATCCTACATTAATAGCTGCCGGTTTCTTTTTGCCGCGCCAGTTTTTGGCAAATTCAACCCCTATTTTTACGCGCTTTAAAAAAATGAAAACTATCTTAAATTGTCATATTTACTAAATTGTTGAAAAGTTAATATGTTTTGTTTTTCTATCTTTAATACTTTTTTGTAAAAATGCATTGAAAGTTTGCATTTGCCATGGCAAAGTGTGTTTTGCCATGGCATTTCGGCATTTTGCCATGGCAAATAATTTGCCATGGCAAATTAGAATTGCCATGGCAAGATTTTTCCTACTTTTGCCATGGCAATTATTTTTTTAAAACCTCACAAAACATTCTAAAACCTATCCTATGACATGTTATTGGTGCTATTGTTATGTTTTTATTGCAATCTCTAATTTTTTTCATTTTGCCATAATTAACTTTATATTGCTGCATTTTGATTAAGCTCACATTGGTTCGAATCTGAGTGGATTGAATTATTTTATGTTAGTATGCCTCAAAGCAAGCTGGCAATTAACTGTTGATTTTCCCGAAATACTGAAAAAGGGGCATATTAGACTTCCTCCCATTCACACAAAAGCTGCAACTCAGCCTGCAAGACTAGTCTGTGTATGAACTTTTGTATTTTGTGCCATTAAACATGAACACTAACCAGTTAATTAAATGTTGTAAAACATGGTATGAAGATTGACGTTCTAAGTTGCATACCCTGTAAATCAGTGACATATCAGTTTAATCTGATTCGTTTACCTTGACTTTCATGTTGAAAGTTTTTTGCTTGTTTTCTTTTTGTTGAAACCGGTGCTATGGGGCTTGCACTTACAACTTCTGTTCAAAGAAGCTATGATGTGAGTATGGTTTGGCTGTTACTTTATAGTGATATTTTGCTGCTAGAATTATATTGACAATTTACCATGCAAACATGCGTCGGTTTAAAATGTGATGCCTTGCTTTAACAAATAAAATTCCTCATAATGAAGTTGGTTGAAAATCGTCGTCATCACGAAAGTTTTGTCTCGCAATTTACATTATTTGGTACTGATGCCACCAGTACTTTAATTATTTTATTGCATCATCATCATCATAATCATCATCATCAAAATCCCAATCACGTCCATCATCATCATCGTCGTCATCACATCATCATTATAGCCATCATCATATAACAATCTTTGGCCGAATTAAAATCAGCTATCATCGTGATCATTAACATTATTTAAACATACTCTAATCATCAGATTCTCATCTATCATCATCACCAGAGTCATTATCATTAAATTCATTATCATGCCCATTATTATCAAAATCATCATCTCCGGCATTATTATTATTGTTGTTATTATTATTATTATTATTATTATTATTATTATTATTATTATTATTATTATTATTATCATCATCATCATCATCATAAAAATCATATTAACATGTATCATTGTTATCAATATCATTATAAATATCACATCACTTCCATCATAAAAATATCATTATAATCACCACCTCTTTCATCATCATCATCATCATTATCGCGAAATTTAGTGTAGTCTGCTAATGTGTGTTGGTTTCAAACAGTTTCACTTCTACTTTACTTACATTTTGCAGTATTTCATTGAAAAATATCGGATAAAAACTATAAACATGACTGCTTGAATATGACTCCGTCTTTTTTAATGAAAGAATGCTTTTTCATATTTCCAATTGAATACGAACATAATCATGTAGATGATGATGTACTGATGATGATTTAAAATGATGATGGTATTGATGATGATAATTATGAAGTTCGAACAAATTTCAACAAATAAACGAATATTATTAGCGATTTCTTTTCTTGCTGAACTGAACGAGGTACTGCACAATTATGAATATAATCAAAAACAACAATACGCCGTGTGACACCGTTGGTTTAAAACTGTACATCTTGTGGTGTGCATTATTTGGAAGTTGACAGCGTATGCAGCTTACGTAATGCACATCTACTTTCCAAAAGATATTATGTCCATATGTATATAGCACACACCTAGTGACAAAATTCAAATCATAATCATCATTGTATCTAAGTTTTCGTATTGTTAGGGATATAAATCATCATCAAAAAATAGGCCCAATGTCAAGGACAAACAACATTGTTCGATCGATAACTAGTGAACTTTTGTGCTTAATGATGATAAGAAAATAATACATGTTTTTTTTTTTTTTTTTTTTTTTTTTTTCGACGAGAATGAGACATTTATACCTTATTATTTCTTTGTGATTACATTACTAAAAATCCCGATTTTGCGTATCAAGAACAAGATATTTCTTTATTATTCTATAAAGAACGTTATTATAGGAGTCTTAATGAAGATAGTACAATAATAAATATTTAACATTACAATATTGTGGAAAAGTTCCTATCAAATGTGAATTGTATGAGTCTTTACATAGTTAGATTATAATCTATAAGAACTGTCGTTACTTTAAAAAAAAACTATCCACAAATCTAAATCAAGTAGCAGTTATCAAAAATCTGTGATAATTGTGATAATTGTTGCGTAATTAACCTCTGATGATTTTCAAATAATTTATTGTTTTAATATCTGAAAAGTCTTAATTATGTATTTGTTGATGTTCTACTTCACGTGATAAAAGAACATACAGTCCGACCCCGGTTATTCGACAACCCATTATTCGAATACCCGGCATTATCCGAAGTAGATCTACGGTCCCGTTTTCATCTCTATATAAACTAATATAAATACCAACGTATTATTCGAAATGCATTATCCGAATACCTCCTATTTTTCGAAGCAAAATTTCGGTCCCGATTATATCAATATATAAGAATTTCACACCTATTATTCGAAGCCAGACTAATTGGCACTGATTGACTCGCTGACCGTCCAGACTTGTGAAAAACTTTGCGGAAAAACTTCTAACAACGGTGCGTGTATTTAGTTAATCGTGATAATAACGATTTGCGTGTACATTTTGGCAATTCCATGGCAAAAATTTGCCATGGCAATTCAATGGCAAAAATTTGCCATGGCAAGTCCATGGCAATTACAAAAAAGTTTGCCATGGCAAAATATTATCAATAAAAAAAACAACATTTTTTCTTTGAATTTTTTTTTAAATCATTAAATTGCTATCCAAAGGAAAATATAGTCAATTTTTGTAAAATGTTTTAGTGTCATTAAAAAATGGTCTGTGGAATGTTTTAATTTTCAATTTTATTCTGATGGTACTATATTTACCAGGATTGGCAGAAGTGTAAGAATTAAGTGGCCCATCATCAAAATCATACGGAATCAATCCTGCGCTAAACTATCATTTGTTTAGGATATTA